ATACATGTGTGTGCGTGCGTGTGTGTGCGTGTGTGTGTATGCGTATGTGTGCATGTATAAAATACCACAATATCAGATATAAATTTATATATATATATATGTGTGTGTGTGTGTGCGTATGTGTGCATGCATAAAATACCACAATATCAAAAATAAATTTGTACTGACCGAATAAGAAGCTCAGGTTCTCGTCCATATTCTCCTGCTTTGGGGAATACTCCGTCTTGGCACCTGATGTAAACACGCGTGTCGGTTGATTCTCCTCCTTCACACCGGTCTTATAACGTTGACTATCAGGTCTACGATAATCAGAATCACTTCTACTACCAGACCTGTTAGGGCCTGTCGTGTGAGTATTGCTTGATCCAGGCGGAATGCCAATGTGTTCTCTCAACCCAGCTACAAACGGTTCATTATCAGCTTTGCCTGCGACATTCGCTCTCATCTCACTCAGAGGTACGTCGCTATTACTAGCAGAACTAGTAGAACTTTTAGACCCGGGTTTGGCACCAGAAAAGTCTGTCTCACTCTTGAGCCCGGGTACGCTTTGGCTGGAGGTGAGAGTGTCCAGTTTTCGGTCGATACCTCGGCGTGCGAAGGGGACACTGCAGTCACTGCCGCGCACAATGGTAGATCTTCGGTATTTCTTGTTGATTTGGGTCATGTCAATAACTCCATTTTTCCCGATGGGTGGCTTAGGGCGGGGCCTTGCGTCAATACCTGTAATTAGGTGGGATTTTGTAGGAGCATAATACATATACATCAGTTATGATTAACACCTATTGATTTAGCCTTAGATACCGTTCAGTGGTGAATATCGCAGTAGGTCAGAATGATGGGTCACACAAATACACAAACACACCATTCAATCCACTGGCCGATGGCGTACAAGATTTAGAATCTACTCCCTGCAAACTATATTTAGGCGGATTACTAGCGCTCGACGGAGCGGAGCCAGTCATAGGTTCGTTTGATCTTGCATTCGACGTATTGAATTTGCCCATAAATTTGTTCGCACGCTTAGGTCCATCTTCGCTCGTACTTAAATTTTCTGAGCTTGTTGTCGAAGCATTCGATACACGTTCAAAGGAGCTAGAAATACCAGGGCTCTCTACAGTGGTGCCACCCACAGCACCCGTGGGGTTACCAGAACTCGCAATCAAAGTTATATACCCACGCATGGCTGCACTTAGAGTCATAAAGCCACCCACAGTTGCGCTGGCGGACTTATTACTACTCACAGATACACTAGAAGCTTCGTTGCTACCAACAATATCGCTCCCTATACTGTCGCTTTTTACAACATCGCTACCTGACGTCTTCGACCCTGTTACATGTCCATCGAAAGTGAACGACTTCCGCACATTCGACAGCGATGGGGTCTCGCAACACACAGTGTTGTGCCCATTTCCACTCGGCTGTCTGTGCGTCTCCAAATGTGAGCCCACGTGCACACTTTTTGCCTGTGGCACTGTCACATGTATCGAATTGCTGGCTGTATGTGTAGCTGATGAAGCATGACCATGATCGAGTATGCTCGTGTTTAAACGATCATGCGCACATGTCTCTGGGTGACCTTGATCGTGTATACTTGTGTCTACTTGATCATGTGAACCTGTATCGGAATGGTCATATAAATTTGCTTTGACACCTGGAGCCGAACTTCGAGGCGTGCTCATGTACACCGAGGCCATAGCAGGTGTCACCGTAGTTGTACCTGGGGATACGCTGTCAAACGGCTGTTTGAAGCGGAGATCTGCGTCTGTAGACATGTCCCATGCCAGTGTCCTATTAGTAGATAGTGCCGATGTGCTAGTAATAGATGCGTATGCATTCACACCTGATCGTTTGGGTGCGAATGTGCAAGGGACGCCGCCCCTTACAGCCGGGATAGGTGAGGCTATCTCAGCAGCAGTGCTGAGTGGACTTGATGTAGGGCTTATTGTAGTGTCCACACTGCTATTCATCACAGACCCTTCCGACTCACCGGCACTGGCAACTGGGGCATTATACCCTTCTATCTGCGCCTCGTTCTCGTGTGTCTTGAATGAGTTTCCGCACTCATTTGTAGTATCAGCATTCACATACTCGTTTGTATCAGCTCCATATGCACACCCATCCGTCTTAGAGCTGCTATATAAACCTGAGGCTCCACAATCGCTCGTTGTCGAGGCGATTTGCCTGGCCCTGTCCGGTACCGCCTTATCTTGACCGTTCCTGGTGCAGGGCGTGGTGCGCATACGCTTGGGTGAACCAGTATCAAAATATGTATCGCAATCTCGCTTAGCGCTGTGTGGTGTATCACTGTTGTCTGGAGAACTATCACGGCCATCCCCACAGTATCCCAGAGTCTCTGATGATGGGTTGGCTTCCAAGTATGCGTCTTCTTTAGGTAGGACCCGACTGTTTGCGGCCGGATCTGGTTGTTGGATTGTGGTTGGGTTCACCCGGGGATGGCACAGTGACTGCAGAGAGGTGAAGGTACTTGTAAGTTATAATAATAGATAGTATTTACAATACAGGACAAAGACGGTACGTCACCCACGAATCATTCTTCAATTTTGATTATGAATCCCAGTTCATACAAAATTAGAAGTCTGCGATTGAGGAGTACCTACCTAGGAGAAAAGCATAAGTGTACATATATGCGCGCATGCAACAATAGTAGGCTAAGGAGAAATGAATGTCGAGTAGACAACAAAACGGATAGCGTCAGCAGAAATCTCAGAGAAATCCACTCACAGCCCGCCATCACGAAGAGTGTGCTCATACCAAATACACCAGATGAAGCATACGCGATTATCAGTGGATGCAATTGTTTACAAAATGCGTGCGCCCGTCCAACCATTACATATACAACATCGTTTACGAAGCCTGCAAATCTTATCACAAATATGGTTCACGGATGTATGAGTCTGAGCACTGCGACTCTAATATTAGCACGTCCCCATCACTGTTTGCAACTCAACATTAGCGTTCACGCGAAACGAATGATCATTCGTTGCCCACACATACGTTCTACCAATTTATATGAGAGAAAATCGAGCTGGACAAACCTGGAGAATGTCGGCCGCATTCAAGTCCTCCTCAAGAGTTCTATTCTGATACATGCCTGATTTGTCCGATATACGATAATCCAGCTGTAGTTGGCCCCCGTCAGAACATACTGAGCTACTAGGTGTTGCAGTCTGTGAACTTGGTTCCGCGTGGTCTGTGGATTCAAATGTCGTTGTAGTTGCGCTCTGATATCCGTTTGTAGAAAACGCGGAGTTATTGGTAGGACACTCGACGACGTTTGTAGAACATGAGCGAGGCTTGCAACTGCTCATCGCATCCCAAACAGTAGATTCTTTCTCGATAGCGTTCGCATAGGTTTCCTCGCTGGATGCCTGGCTTTCTGGTGTCGGACTCTGTACAATCGTTAAAATGAAAATTATATCAAAAAATTGGAACGATATATACATTCTATTTGAGCCTGTTCCAATATAACTGGTATATTTGACACCAATATACATTGAACACTTTTCGTGATGATAAATGATACTAGATGTCATTGTGCTATAACCACCGTCAAGGTCAAACTCACAATACTCCGAGTACTTCCAGAACGAATAAGATTATTTCTACATAATTGTGCAGTACCCTTCAGTACTAATCCATAAGAAGGTGCACAACTCTTGCTCAAATACAAGCCATATGTTAAATATCCGATTGGCAGTCAGCAACATACCCCATTCGCGTTGCTGCGACACACTCAAAATCTCAACACCCATTGACAATACTAAGAGAACTTCCACATAATTTGTCCCCTTTTGCACGTGATGGGGCGAATTTCTTTAACACAAATTATCACGAAGGCGTATGTGCATCCTAACAAGACATCTGTCAAGTCTGTGATCAGCAGTCGGCGTACGTACCGCTTTTGCTGTTGCCGCCACACTCGCAATCTCTCCATGCGGCGCCTTCGAAAGACGAGCTCCGTCTGTCATTGATTGGTCAGCTTTGAACCCCTGATTTAGCCAAATAAATAATTTCATTAATCCAAAGATATCAAATTTTCTGAATAATATTGAATCGAAATTTTATAGTTTAATAAAAATTCATGTACATATAGTGGGTCATGTAGGCATTCTGACAATAAGTAAGCGATTATACAAGCTGCTTCATTTCCACATTTGGTAATGGAAACGAGGCAGACATACCTTGATACTTACAATGCATACATGGTCTTGGGACCATCACATACTGACATGAATAACTAGTCTAAGGGTCTCACACACAACGGATGGACAGGATGGATAAATGTATATATATGGAACAAATTTTGAGCCCAAAAACTGGTACTCTCAGATCATACAAATCAAATGTTCGAGTACCAAATATTTGCATATACATGCATACAAGTGCAAATCGTTACATAGACTATGTACATGAATAGGTATATGATTGTAGCGGAGAAAAGGATACACATCGAATTTCGATTCGAGTGTCATATACATATGAGCATATTAGATGTATGCATGTATATAGTTAAAGGTGACCAACTCCCATCGCATATATTCACGCAGCAGATAGCGTATTATAAAAGTGTACTACCTTTTCCAGAAGTTTAAACCTATTTGGTACTCATCGATAATACACGTATAAAGCAAAGAACGTCTGAACAAACAATACCTACCTCAGGGTTCAACTTGTGAGAGAAGTAGTCATCGTCTTCACTCTCATCCATTGACAGATCCAGATCTAAGTCCAAATCCAGATCGAGATCTAGTGCAAAGTCCCCCATGCTTGTGAATGCTAATTGGGACACAAATAAAATCGAATTCATCTTTCAGAGACCGCTTCTTTACTCGTATAGGCATTCAAACCTATAAAAAAAGCGCAATCTTTTATATGTA